CGTGGGTGGGGGGGGGGGGGGGGGGTGCTAGTTAATGAGGTATGTAAATGCATGGAGAATTGTGTGCTTTCACTTTTTCTATTAGATCGTCCAAGAGAAGGAAAAACTGATTTTGGTTGATAAGTAGGCTTACACGACAGAATTGATATATTTGCTGTTCCACTCTGGTGCTGTGACTGTGAGTGGATAAACTATTGCCCCTTTTATTTAATAAGGCAGTTTGGTAACTAGCTTATCTTTGTGCATTTCTATTTCACTCATTTCTGTTCAAAATAGAGATGTGGCGGAGTTATTCACTTTTTGATGTGAGCTATGCTGTAGTCCTTTGGAGATGTCCTATAAAGATGGGATCAGTTTGCCCAAAAAAAGCAACCGCACCTGTGTACCCTTTTCTTAAGCAGCCGTGGATTGTCACTTCTATTTTTTCATAGGTTTTTTACTGTACTTCCTAAAACTACAATTACAGGCTGAAGAATAAATTCCAGTCAAAGATCTGTTGGTATTAGTAGATGTTGAAATGCAATCAGGAAATTTTGATTAATTAGAATTGGGTAGACTTATTTGATTTGTATTAATTTTACCCTTTTATTTTCTTAATTAGGTGAGATGATGAAGTCTATAATTACCATATGTAATCTGTCTAACAAGTCAGAAATATAATTCTCTTTTATTTTTTCCCTTTTTTCACTACGGTACCATAACGTTTTTTCGTTTCATTTTTTCCCTTCTATAACGTTGTAGTAATCAGTTAATGACTTTTGGATTAATGCGTGGTAGAACCACTATCATAATTGTTCCAACAAAACCTACATAATCTTTGTGGTTTGTGCATCTTTGTCAACGTGATTTAGGAGTTAGATTAAAAGTTTTGAAGAACTGAAGGAAAAAAATATGCGTATAAAAATTTCTCAACATTCTATTATTATTTTAAATAATTATCAATTAATAAGCCAGAATTTATCATGTGAATATATATATATATTTGTCTATAGTTCTTCCAGTGTATATTTAACATCCATTAGTAGCGTATTTTTTATTTATTAATATCCGAAGTGTAACAGTGCATCCAATATATTTGAAATTTATTTAAGGTCATTTGCTACTCATTAGCATGGTGAGTGATAACTCATAATAACTATCGAGTTTTGAGATTGGTTTAGGGTTTAGGATTTAAGAGATTGGCCAGTCCCATCTATACAACTCGGTAGTAATTTCGTTTTTGAGCAATCTTGCTCAATCTCGAGCTTCCTTGGGTAATCTTGAGCAATCTCGCTCCCTCTATTACTAAAAGCAAAAATTAGTGATTTCTTAATTTTTTATTTGTTATTTTAAGAACTATGTCTTGTGTGAAATTTTGCATAATTTACTACTAAACATTGCTATTTTACTTTAATATAAAATTAAAATGTTGAATTATTATGTTATTTATAAATATTATAACATTTTTTTTATATTAAGTAAACTCTTATAAGTTTACGATTCTAGTTTATGAAATCTCAACCAAATCACATAAGCTTTCAAGATTGAGAACCTTGCTCATTAACATTATAATATTGATATTCTGTTTTGTAGAACATTGCCATTTCAAAGTAATGAAAGGCCTTCCTCCTTTCAAGAATGGGGGAAAATAGCACTATTTGAGAGGGCAGAAATATTGTTAGGCTGTCTATCACTAATTCATGATATTTTGATGTGAGGAAAATCATAGAGCTAGGTTCTTATAGAAGTTGCATACCTCCACAACATGAAATGAAATGTTTTTGCTTTCCACTTACCAGGCTTTGCCTCTTGCAGGCAAAACTGCAGCACAACAGCCCGTAATTAAATATATTTTTTTCAAATCCCATTTTTGATCCTTGTGATTCAGGTTCTTTTAAGTGTATATACCTTAAGTTACAGTTGTTGTGTAGATGTCTTTTATATGTTGTCGGAGTTAGCTTGATGAATTGGGCATTTGTTTGGTGTTTAGGGTTAAATAGAATTTTATGTACATGAAATATCACTCTTGTAGAGTGAAAGAGGTATATTTCAGATGATAAAGTGTACATATATAATGAATTCTAAAGTAATTAACATTACAATGTTAATTTTTTTTATTAATGGATATAATTGTTGTGTTTTATTTTTATTTTTATTTTAGTTGAGTTAAATTCAATGTATTTTTGTATAGGACGGAAATGTATAATTCGTCTAGTAAAGCATGAATTACAAACTTCACTTTCTATGCCTACCGTCTGTTCAAAGGTATTTTTAAATTACTATTATAGTTTGAATTAGTTTTATTAAAACTAGCATAAAAAAGTCACTCGGTGCACTACACTGTATTAGAAAGAGAAAATAATTTTTTTTAATGACAATTATTGTAGTTTTAAAATAAATAAAAAAGAATGAAAAATTACTTGCAAAAAAAAGTGATTTTAAGAAGTTTAGAATAAGTAAAGGAGAAAATGGTTTATGGAAAAAGGAAACTAAAAGTTATCATGACCCTTTATATAATGGATTAAATTATTACTATTTATTATGAATGTTATTCGACTTTAAAATAATTGGGAGCATTATAGTGGTATATGAACAAATGCAATCCAGAGAGAAGTGATAAATAGTTATACACGATCTAATGCTATAAAAAAAATCAGATAATTACATCTTGCCACTGTTTTTAAATAGATCACTTTCAAAAATAATTTTTCATTTTTATATGTAGACTTCTTTTGAAAATATTCTTTAAGTTTAAAATCAAATATATTTTCAGTGTTAGTTTTCTGATTTCGTTGGAGTTCCAATAATTTATCCTAATTGAAATTCTCCTACCTTATATTTTCATTGTCATCTTTAATGAAATAACACAATTCGATTTTTTTAATGTAAAAAAGGATATTTCCATATTAAATATTAAAATATAAACCCACATACAACAATTAGAAGCAGAACTATAACAAATAGCTACAAAAATCAAGCGCGGCTCATGAAAAAACATATATATCAAGCACGGATCAGGACAAAAATGGGAGAATGCAACGTAAACTGGGTTGGGGAACACTAAATAAAAAAGGCACGTCAAATCCATAGGCGTCCCCTTATTACTGTGTCTCTCTTTTTTGAACTAATTTTCCCTTAATTGATTAATCTCCCACTTGAAAAGTAAAAAAATATCTCGTTGGATCAAATGAAAGGCTCGTTTCTTGAATGAATAGGAAGGAAGCAAATGACACAGTAAAATTTCCTTCAAATTTATGTTTAAATAATCTCGCAGACATTAACGTAGAGGAACAAACCAAGAGCGAAGAGTACTAAAGGATAGTTACACATTTCAGGTTAAAGGAAGTGAAAACCAGTGAAGCACTGAAAAAAAAAAATCCCTAGCAATTTATGTGGCTGTCAAATAAATAATCACAAAAATTAAGGCAGATGCTCTATCTTTTATCTGTTACAGAACATCCCTGGCAGAAATTAGTACACAATGAGAGCAATTGATTTGTAAAACAAAATATAGTGAACTACACAAGTACCTCCCGAAGATTCATAAAATTGCACATAATCCCTATTTTTTTTAACATTTACATCAAACGTCCCTTATAGAAGAACACGGTTCAATATTTTTTTAACAATTGAGAGAAGCTAATTTAATGTTTGAGGAATGTTGGCGTCATGTTTTACAAATAATCAAGGGGAATTGGTGAGGTAAAAAAAAAGTAGGGAATTTATCTGCAATTTCACAAAATCTCAGGAAGTGTCAGTATCAGTGTAATTAACTTAAATATATTTGACCCACGATGATTGATGGCACACTTGCTGGGATGTACTATGTGTGAGCTACTATACAAAGTAAACTGAAAAAGAAGTTCCATTACAATAAAGGCCATTTCAAATTTTGACACCATACCGAATTCAAAGGACCTCTGGGGATGCACACCCCAGCTGACTAAAATACTAGAAAGGCTATTTACCATTAGGAGAAGTCAGTCTATTTTCCTCCAGATCATGCTTCGTTGTAGAGTCCCCCCCACCCATCAATTCTGAGAAGCCCTCCACCTTCACAGGCGGGGCTCTAACCATGCCAATGTTCCTATATGCAAACAATAAAGCATTAATAAAGATAACATAATAAGCCAACCTAGCAGCAGCATTCATTAAATTGAAGTAACTTACGGAGACTGCATCGAAGGGATCTGTAAGGAACTCATCTGTCTGAACTGAGTGCCAGATTGAGAATGGAAATTTGACATTGCAGCCATCTGCTGCTGCTGCTGCTGCTGTTGCCTAAACTGCATTTGAGGATGTCTAGAAGTGAAGGCATTACTATCCATAGGTAGATCCTGATTTTCAATCTTGACTTGAACCAATGGTCTTTCCTTATCTACATCCATTGCAGGGCGCGGAGTAGATGCTTGGCGCCTTCGCATTCTCTCTAATTGCTGTTGTTGTTGTTGTTGTTGCTGTTGTTGTTGAAAAGCCATATTTTGGGAATGAATAATCTGCTGCATCTGTGGATGCATCTGCCTCTGCATCTGAATCTGCACATTAATAATACATTGTCATTGAGTAAGACTGCATCGCATAAATTATTAATCACGACATAGATTTAAAATTGCATGTGAACTGCAGTCTCATACATATTCATATTCAAATAACATTCAACCTATAAAAATCATTTTTGGATAGATGCTACAAACAATGGTCACTGGTCAATGCAAAAGAAAAAAGAATCATAATTCAACTTGAGGCATGGGGTAAATTCTGTTTTGAGGAAGCACCAAATACATCTATGTCTCACTGCCTGTGCCCTTGCTCATGTCAATGCATCACAGTAGTAGCTTACAAAATTAAATAATGCACAAAGAAGTAGATGTATGTACTTGTTGAGATAGCCGAAGGGAACTCTGCTGCTGTTGTTGCACCTGTGGTTGCATTCCATGAACTTGTTGCTGACTCTGTTGTACAACATTCTTGGAGCCATCTCTAACCACATCCACTAATGGTGCAAAATTACTGTGAGCAAGAGCAACAAAGTTAAAGTGCATCCTTTGCATGTCTAAGATATTATGATTTAAATGCCAAAAATAAATCGGGTAACTTTGCCTAAAATGCTTGCCCAACCACCATATACATCTATGCACACACAAGTTCACAGTACCACAATTTGTATTCACATATCCCTCCTCCTTTCCCCCGTTCCCTGGTTTTTATTTCTTGAATCTTTACAAAGTAATAACATAGTCTTAGAGCAAATAGTAATCACCTTGTGAAACATTAATGCAGAGCAAGATTAACATATTCATCCATGCTACAAACATTTAGCAGTAAACTGCATTTTACTGAATTCATACGAAAAAAAAAATTGACACAGGCCAACAAAAAATCCAAATAAGGTACAACAATATCAAATAACAGAACACCAGATAAACTAAATTTGAATATACATAAATTTATTTTCACCAAACTAAACAGTTAACCAAGAAGAATTTAAACTCACCTAAACCCCACTGTCTTAAGCAACATCTTGAGAAGCTCAATGGCCGAGCACTGTTTCTTATAACTATCAGCAAGCACTCTCAGATTCGTTCCTATTTTACAAATGCGTTCGCTCAGCACCTCAGAGAAGTCCTCAACAGAAGCTTCTATGGCACCTTCAAACCCCACGCCCAACAAGATCCGCGCCACCGCCTTCTGCGCCAGCTTCGCCGCTTGCTCAGGCCCAACCACTCTCCCACTCCCCTCACTTCCAAGTTTCCCACGGCCCAAGCTTCCTCCATGGTCCACACTACCGTGCTCAGGCCTAACCCCGAGCCTCTCCATCATAACAGAACTCCTACTCGTAACAGGAGGCAAGGTATCAAGAACACTAAGCACCTTCACAGCCTTCTGGCTACTATTATTATTATTCTCCACTCTATCACTCAACGAAAGCGCACTATCAGGCACGCAGTTCAACGCAAACGTTATCTCCGGAAAAACAACGGGATCATCGTCCACAGCTAAATTACCGCTATTAGCGCGATCCGCGACGGAATTCACATCTTCCTTAAACGCGACGCGGCGTTTCTTGTGACTACTAGCGTAGGCGAGATAGGAAGCCATCTCCGCCGGCGAACGCGATTCGCCGGAAACTAAGTTGTTAGCCTTGTACTTATCAATAACCTGATTGTACCAGGTTTCAGGGAGTTCAGATTCGACGTACCTGGATCCGGTGGCTTTGGATTGATTCTGCGTGAAATTAGAAGAAAAAGAAAAGAATGTAAGTGAAATAGGAAGAAGGAAATTAACGGCGAAAGCGAAAGCGAAAGCGAAAGCGGAGAGGTAGGGTTTTTGTTTGGAGAACCTTAGAGTCATGTTGCGCGTTGTCGAGGGTGAAGTAGACGTCGTCGGCGTGCAATTGAAGGTAGGTAGGGTTGAGGCGGTGGAGGGAGGGGCTAGGGCTGAGGGAGAGAGAGGCGGAGGCTTTGTCGAAGAGGAGGGCGCGGACACGGAGCTGGAGAGGGATGTGAGTGGTGGAGCTGATGAAGGAGTCCCAGGCGGAGGGGGAAGAGAGGAAGGGGGCGAAGTTCGCGTAGGTGGAGTCGCCCAGCCATGTTCGCCACACGCCGCACGTGTCCAGCTTCCGCGCCAGTTCGTAGCCGCGCCCGTCCTCCCCCAGCAGAGCCATTGCCACCGCCCAACTCACCACTCTCTTTTCCTTTTGTTTTGGTCAAACGCCTTTAACTGGACTCTTGGGCCGCCTCCTGCATCCCTGGCCCGTTCAACTTTTACCACTCCGCAAGTCAAGATAACATATATTACTACTGTCGACTGTTGTTGAGTGCAAGGTATAATATTATTATATTTTAGCTATTAACGAATTATTTCTATAAAAAAAAATTGAAATGTAATTCAAAATTCGACTTAAAAGAGGATAAATCGAATGGAATGCGTTGTTGAAAATAACAAGTATACAAATAACAATAAAGATAAAGAGATATAATTTCAGATTAATTGAGAGAGAAAATGTTTTAATTTGTTGTGGGATTTTTTTTGTAAAATGCAGATTTAAATTAGATAAATTGAATATTAAAAGTGTCTAACTAAAAAGCCAGAAAAATAAAGATTTCACTCTCCAAATTATATATTTTAATTTTTAATATTGGTGTAAAAATAGCTTAAAAGTTTTATATTGATAGATTGTCTTGGTGAATATCTTTTATTGTGAATTAATTAAAAATTACTTTGGACGTGACATTTAAATTATTTATTACAATAAATAATTATAATGTACATGATAATATATTATTAGAGGAAAGTCTAAAAAAATTATATTATCCTTATATTCTAATTAAATTCATAATTTTAGTTCAAGCACAATCCATAACAAAAATGGAGATGATTCTTTCACTGCCCATCATTAGAGTTTTGGTAGTTTATTTGTATCTTGGACTTATGTTATATCACCATTTTGATATCAACAAAATAATATATCTTATTTCATGGTTTATTTCATCTGATCCTTTTAGGTTTTAAAACATTAGTTTAATGAATTTGACTTTGTTATATTCATTATAGTGAAGAATTTCATTTTATGTTTGTGACACTATATTAGGATTCATCATAAAGCGAATAATTAATTGTAAAGATAAGAGATTAATTTGATTTTGCGATAAAATTTGCTTTAACTCTAAAATACATTGTTCTAATCATTTTGGGGCAATTTCCTTTCGTTGAAACCTTCCTCCACTAATTGATATATGCTTTTTAAGATGGCTACAATGCCATTTTTTCTTCATGTCTTCATGAAATTTTTGTAACATAGGTGATGGACTTATAGAATATCCAAGTTTTTCTTGTTGTTGTTGTTGTTTTTTTTTATTTTTATGAATGAGGTGACCTCTTTTTTTGCACACGATCCTCAAGAGTAACGTTGCGTAAGTTCCTTGTCTATTTGGTATTGGCTATTTTGAGTGAGGATTAAATTAAATTGATAATGATCTCGTTAGGGTGATAATATACAAAATAAATATTTACCTATTGTAGTAATGTTGACGGTATATATACGCGTTAGAGCTAAACTTAGATTCCTTGACATAGAATCTAAAGTATTTTATAAGTAATTATATGCTATTTTAGAGTAGCAATATGATACTTTTACCCTTGCTTGAGGTGTAATTCCGTGTCCATGAGTACAAGTTATAAATTTTCTTATTATCGATATTGACTTTGATTAACATTTGTGATTTAGAGCAATTGTATGGTTGGGCTTGACCTATCAAAAGAAATTAGGCTTGAGCCAATCCATAACAAAAATGGAAAAAAAAATGAAATCTCATATAATATTGTTGTTTGATACCTACTAATATTTTTTTAAGAAAAATTACTAGTGCTTTACAATAATAGTTTACCATAATAATTATATATTCATTGAATACTCCTTAATATATACATATATTAATCTTAAATATCAACTATTACATATAAAATGGACGTGTTATTTATCTTTTAGGATAAAATATATTTTTTTAGTTTTTATAATTTTTCTTATTTTAAATTTTTCTAATTTTTATAGTTTAAAATAAATATTTTCAATCCTTATATTTATTTATCTTCAAGTTTAAAATACATTTTTTTTCTCTATATTTATAAATTTTTTAATTCTTTTAGTCTTTATTATTATCTTTTTTGTAATTTTTTATGTTGACATGAGAGAAGTATTGATTTAAGTTTATGCATCTAATATCAAATTTATTTTATTAAAATTACTATAAATTAAACCTCTTAACCCTCACTTGCAATGTTTATTATTAAGAAATATTTTTTTATTATCATAAAATTGGAGACTTTTACCTGATTAACATAAAATGGATAATATAATTTTTTATAACAATATGTGATAGGATTCCTAATTTGCACAAGGAATGAAGAAGGATCTTTATAACAATAAACAACTATAATCATCAATCTCAACTTTAACAACTTTAAGGCAACTTTCAACTTTACAACAATTGGCATCTCTATACTACTTAATTAAATAACTAGAACAACTATAGTCATTACAATATCAACTTAATGCAACTTAACGACTTTAAACAACTTCAAACAACTTTACAACAATAATCTACTTCAACTTATACATATCAAATTATTAATAATTCAACGATAGACAACATGTAAACAACTTAGTTTCATCAACCACACAAACTATAAACAACTTAAGCCAACAACTACTCAACTCATCTTCATTAGGCAACTTAACAACTTTATAAACAACTTCAACAATATACAACATATTCGACACAAATTACAAATCAACCAACATATTTAAAGTTCATCTATCATGCCAACTTACACAATGCATAAAGCTTCCCTAACCTGAATATTGGCTCCGAATAGCCAAGAATTCGGGAATAAGAAAAACTTTCCTCCAAGCTCGACTCCCAAGCTTCAATCCTTCAAAATCAAGCTTCTTAGTGGACCAGAGTCCTTCTCTCTAAACTTCTTTCCCTTCCTCTCCCTCTTTCCTTTCCTTTCTCTCCCTCCTTAATGCCTATTTATAGAGGTCAGGAGTGGCTAGAATGCCCCGTTTCGAATCCGGAACAGCTCGTTCTAGGCTCCTTCATCATGTGTAAAATTCACATGCAGAACGGCCCGTTCTGAAACCAGAACGGCCCGTTCTGGCATGTCTAGAATAGCCTGTTCCCAAACCAGAACGACCCGTTCTGGAGTTGAATTTAACTCACCATTCTAGGATTTATAGGTCAATTTAGTAGTTTGGAACGGCCTGTTCCAGTTTGAGAACGGTCGTTCTAAGCTACTAAATCACCCATCACCTTCTGAAATACTTACTACGTTACAGGAATCACAACCTTGATTATTTTTATTGGAATTCACTCGTCAATATGTTGATGATTAACCTAAAGTTCGGGTTGCTCGGTCGGATAGGAACCAGGAAGGTATGTACTGTTCGGTCAGCTCGGCAAATTAGAGATCTGGAGGGTACAACCATCTTGGCTCGAGCGTTAGCGACACGTAGAGCCATTGATCGGTCAACTTGGAAAATTGGAGACCCGGAGGGTACACAACCCTCTTGGCTCGAGCGTTAGCAACGCGTAAAGCCATTAATCGGTCAACTTGACAAATTGGAGATATGGCGGGTACACAGCCCTCTCAGCTCGAGCGTTAGCGACGTGTAGAGCCATTGATCGGTCAACTCGACAAATTAGAGATCTGGAGGGTACACAACCCTCTTGGCTCGAGCGTTAGCAACATGTAGAGCCATTGATCAGTCAACTCGACAAATTGGAGATCCAGACCATTGATCAGTGAACTCGGCAAATTGGAGATCCAGAGGGTACAATTATTTTACCTATAGTATATATAAATTTTATCAAACTCTTACAATAAATGTAATTGAAATTGTTATATAATAGTAAAACTATTTAAAATAATAATATTATAATAATTTTATGTAATAAATTTATTATTTTAATAATAAAAATTATTAAGATCCTATACAGAATAATAAATTAATTAACATAATAATAATGTTAAGTACGAAATTATCCAAAATAAAAAATAATTATCTTAACATCAGAATATATGGGAATAAATATATCTTTTTTTCTAAATTTTTTTAAAAAATTATCTTTTTATATTATTTTCATTTCTATATATAAGATCTAATTACCTAATTTATCAAGATTAAGAAAGAAATACCTTGTGTTTTTGCAATTAAATTAATTATATTTTTTTAATAAAATTAAAGGAGTGATTTTATAAAATATTTTGATATTAAATTTAAATATTTTAATGTTTAATTAATTAATTATATAAGGATCAAAATATAATATAATGTTTATTATTATTATTTTGAGGGAAGGGAAGGTGTAACTTGAGTTAGTGTGAGTGACTGTTAGTTGGGCTAAAGCGAGATTGAGTCAGTTTTTTTATTGTGCTCTTATTTTTTCTTTTTATGTTTTCAAGAACCACGAGGAAAGGAGTCAAAAGGAGATCATCTCAAAGACCCGTGTTCTCCACTTTTTGTTGGTCGAGGTAAAAAGGAGTGAGAATTCTTGCTCTAAGGCATGGGGTAATTGATGAGTAGTGAGGTTGGTCTCAACCTGTGTATGTAGTATGTGTTGTATGAAGGAGAAAATCCTATTACTTTTTGTTAGTGATTTTTTGTCTGTCCCATGACTCTTTAACCCTCATATTGCTGTTAATTGCAATTCTTTATAGTTAATTTCGTGTGATGAGCCTTCTTGGTATGTTTTAAGTTGCTTATGGTTCCTTTGGAAATCCTAATGGGACGTTTGGTTGGAGAGAAATTTTTTCATACCCACCCGAGAATCATGATTCCTGGAAATAGCTAAAATTTGTTTAGTTACTCATAAATATTTTCAAGAATATTCATACAAGATTCTCATGAATTAAAGATATTCATGTTTTGTTATATATAATAGTATATTCTTGGGTATATAATATATTTTTTTAAAAATATCCTTTGTTAAAATAATCTCATTATATATTTATTTACTCAAATCTTATTACAAATATGACATTAAACTATTTTAAAAAGTTGAAAACTTAATAAAATTATTTAAATATAGAATTCAACAAAAAGAATAAAAAAAAATAAAAATATTATATTATAATTAAGAAGAATAAAAATATATTATTTCATTTCTTACAAATAAATAAATAAATAAAGTGTTAAAAAATACCATTAAAATATAGAAACAAAATAGACTTTAATAATATTATTAAAATTGACAAGGTC